GGTTACATCATTTGCCTTCTCGAGTGGCAGAGCAGTGCTAGGGGTGAGAATGACACACTGCGGAGCACTGGTACCTGGATGTATTATCCTAAATTTAACAGGTATGGCATATGCTTCCTTCAGTTGTCCTGTTGCATGGCAGGTGTAGCTATGCCTCTGTCCAGAAATGAGACCCTGTTTGGTGCTTGTTACAGCTCTGGATGGAACCATTTGCCCCATTTCCTTTGCACTCTGGATCCTGGTAGGCCATTATTTCTCTCTCTTGCATGGAGATGGGCAAGGTCCGCTGCTCTCATGCACCCACCAATGAGCATATTTCAACTTGAATGTTAAGGGCGAGCTCCTCGGCTGGTATAAACAAGCATAGCCTCGTTTTTGTCAAATAGGAACTCAGCCGGTTTACCCCAATGAGACTCTGCCTCTATGTTTCTGGTACATTTTTAGTTAGAATGGACCATCATTTGAATGGAAACTCTCAGGACTGAAAGGCTCAGCTTTTCTGCTTTATCTGGCTTATTTCCAAATCTGTCAGTTTTCCTCTTTGCTCTTTAGAAGAAGCTGGGACTCAAAGGATGAAAGCAAAACTTGGGCACTCTGAGTACCCTTTTCAACACAAACAAGTGCTGGCTTTCGGTCAATTAAAATGTGGAGGTGCTGTCAGACGACTCATTTCTATCATGTGACACCGCTGACATCAGCCACGCCATGCTGGGAGAATTGGTTCTATTCCCTTAGCCTCACTGTGCCTCACTTTCCCGTGTCAGAATGGCATTAATGATACTAACCCATTGTTACAGGGAGCTTTTAATTCCCAGTTTTCCAGCACAGTTGCACGGTGAATAATAATGACAGGGAAGAAGAACGATCTTCTTAACTTTGAATGTTACTTATTTTTCAGAATTGTAGCAAATATGCTGGTTATCTGCAACACAATTGAGTTTGTGTATTCAAAATGTAGACTTGGGTGGAATCGCCACCTGCACTCCAGGCACACCTAGGTGGGTGCATCTGAAGTGGGGTGTCTCAAAAGAGCCATTTGCAGTTCCCTGTTGATGCCAACTTACAGCCGGCTTTGGCCATCCTCCCTCTCATGGCTGGCACGTCCCTATATGCGGGGAGGGGTGGGAGTTGGCACACCCCTTTTTACACTTGTCTCTAGGACAGGTAAGGATCCCCCCACCTCAGGGAATCCTTAGTAGCCTACCCATGTTTGCTTGTCCACGAGACTAGTGCATTGGGCATGTGATCTGTGCTGGAATCTGACCTTTATGTCTATAGAATATCTTTTCAAGGCTATGGATGGTTGGGATTCCTTGGATTTATTTGAACACCTGTAGGCACCTATGATCTTTCTCAACTTCACTATTTATTAGTGTCACTTTAAAAGAAGGCTGCTTGAAATGTGAGAGCTGGCCAATAGGAAAAACAGGCCTTGCAGCTGACTACATTTCTGTGGCAATGCAGAATTACAGCACAGTAAGCATAATGCGGCAGTTATAGCATCTATAAAACTCCTGAAGACATAGCTTGGTTTGGATCATGGAGTTACTAAACGACTGATTATACAGGTGCAGTATCACCTTTCAGATTTGATTAATGAGTAACCACAGCACAAGGATATGTTTGACTGAGAAACCTTGACTGATGGTTGCTAGACACATCAAGCTTGCTTCTGGGCCTCGTTCCATCCCTTTATGGCATTCTGATGCCCGAACCCAGCCACAGCAGGGTTTGGGGGAATAGTGAATTTCTCTCTCTTTAATATGCAGAAAAATTAAGAAACATTTCCCCACATCAGCCTGATGCAGAAGGCATCTCACAAACACAGACTGTGCAGTAGCTTTTCCAGGAATCTGTTTGTTGCCTTCTTGTGTCTGACTTACTCCAAGAAGGGATGGATGAACCATTATGTAAGAAAATCTGGCCAGCTCATGAGAACTTTACCTAAGAACGGCCACACTGGGTCAGACTACAGGTCCTCCTAGCTCCGTGTCCTGTCTGCCGACAGTGGCCAATGCCAGGTGCCCCAGAGGGAGTGAACAGAACAGCTATCCAGTCACCTCCCATTCTTCACCCTAAACCTCACCTATGCAAAAAAGAGGCATTGTTACCCACACTTGATGCCAGGACAGTCTTGGCCTGGCCTTCTGTCTTGACAGGACTAGACCTTTTAGAGGGACTCCCAAATGATTTGTCTTGATGGCAGATGGGTCACAGGGGTTCCCAGTCTCTAAACCTGTGGTGTCCAACACGCTAGCCACATGTGGCTGTTTGGCCGGTCGAGTGTGGCTAGCTGGCTTGAACAATGTGGCTATTTGGCCGGTTGAGTGTGGCTAGATCGCTATAGCAGTAGTCACTTTAGTGGCTTCTGCTTCAGAACTGGTTGGACACCCCGGCTCTAAACAAAGACTTTCCAAGTGGCAATCTGACTGCATTAGTGGGTGCTACCAATCTTGTAATCTCCTTACTCTGGGAGGTCTATTCCTCCTCTCCAGCCTTCCTCAGGAATGTTCCCATCATTGCTGTGACTTGGGCCTCTCCACATATATTGGCAGAGCACTAGGCAGTAATTCAGTGGTACTCAACCAGGGGGCTGCCAAGCAGGGCCAGCCTCAGACTTGCTGGGGCACAGGGCAGAAAGCCAAAGCCATGTCCCCAAAGCCCCGCCACCTGGGGCTGAAGCTGAAGTCTAAGCAGCTTAGCTTTGTGCGGCCCTGGCTGTTGCCCTGTCTGCTCCCCACTCATTCTGGCCTGGCTTTTTTATGCAGCAAACAGTTGGTGTGGCCCTGGTGGGCTACCGAGTTTGATAGCGTGTTTGGGGGGCTTCAGCATGTAGAGTTGAGAGCCCCGGCAGTAACTCCAGACTCTGCTTCTGATGCTGAGTTGGGCTCAATATCGCCCTTGTCTCCAAAGTCCCCTTCTCCTTTGAGGGGAGCAGCTCAGTAGGTTCCCAGAATGGAGTGCCCAGAGGGACTGCTCGAAGAAGCAGAAGAAGTGATTAGTCCCTGTGCAGTAATGGGAGCTCTTAGAGAGCTTGCTCATGTTGATTCCAAGTAACGGGGGTGGGTGTGTGTGTGTGTGTGTGTGTGTGTGTGTGTGTGCGCGCGCGTGCACACGCACAGTCACTGGAAGGTCCTTCCCCCACCCAGCAGGACCTGTCGGGTCAGTCTAGATGCCTCCTGGAGTCACACCTTCGCAGCACCACAAATGGGGCCCTGCCAGCCTGTCACCTCACCTGTCTGTTCTGTATCAGAGGCAGCAGCGTGGGGCCCTCAGCCAATCTGTGCATGGAGCTGGTTTTTAAACCAAAACCCAGCTCCCCTCACGGACCAGCTCCCGCCTGCCATCCTGCATCGCTGCCTCTGACAGAGGGGCAGCAGTGCGAGATGGCAGGGGACTCCCCAGGAGTGAGGCTGGGAGTGCACTGGCTGCTGGCCCTGCCACCGGGGACTATCACATTGTTGTATAACCACTAAAACGTTATGTGGCTACACGACTATTCAGTTACGCGCTAGCTAACATCCCAATCTTACATCTATCCATGCCTCTGTAAACGCCACTCCCATTCATCTGATGAAGTGGTTTTACCCACAAAAGCTTATTCTGTACCCTAAAACAACCTGCTAGTCTCTAAGATGCTACAGAACTCCTCATTGTTGTACAGTATATCCCTTTTTGTGTTTACTTTCTGCCAACAATAGAACAGTCTAGTTTATTGACTCAGATGTTTTTGGAAACAGTTTAAAAACAGATGTCAGCATTTTTTTTCATTCCCTCAACCACACAAGTGAGCAGATGTAGTCTGAGTCAGAGCCTAGTTCTAAGTAAAATAAAAATATGTATCTAGTCTAGAGAGCTATAAGGCTGAGAAATAAAAACATGGACAGTTCATAAATTTGGGGTCAGATTGTGGGGACTTAACTCACTAGTGCAGAGTTGTCAGATTGTGGGGACGTAACTCACTAGTGTAGAGTTGCTCATGTGAGTAGTACCATTGATTTGAATGGGAGGACTTATTCGAGTAAGCACTCACCCAAAGGAGTCAGGGGTTCATAATCTGGCCCGGCAGTGAATATTTAAGTAATGATGGAATCTTAACACAGTGAAAAAGAGCCAGGCTAAAGTTGTAGGCCAAGTAATTCACTAGAATCAGTGCTGGTTCATGGGAAAAAAATGTGGTTAACAGAAACTGTGCAAGCATATGAGAAGTACAGGCAGTCCCCGGGTTACGTACAAGATAGGGACTGTAGGTTTGTTCTTAAGTTGAATTTGTATGTAAGTCGGAACTGGTACATATTGTAGGGGAAACTCTAGCCAAACATTTCTCCAGAGCTCAGTTTTATTCTCCCACACCTCACTTCCCTCAGTCCTTTATTCTCAAGCTGAGGAGTCTGCTGAGAAAAGCCACTCCGCGTCTCCCTGGTCTGCTGGGGGGGGGCGCTAGCTTCGCGTCTCCCTGGTCTGCTGGGGGGAAGCAGCTAGTGTGGGGTTGCCTCACCCCGTTTGTAAGTAGGGATCCGATGTAAGTCGGATCCATGTAACCCGGGGACTGCCTGTATATGCAAGTAAAGGAAGGAGAAGTTGCGAGCCATAGTTGTTCCCTGGGCACAGCTGCAGTAAGCATTTCTGCAGTATGCGGGCCTAGCTCCCCAGAGTTCTGAACAGCAACAGAGCAGGGTCCCTGGTGTAGTGATGCAGCTAAGAGTGACCTGTTGATTTGCTGCACTGCTGTTTGCATGTGTAGTGAGGGGTAGCCTGTTTTATGCAAAGGTATAGAAAGGTGGAAACAGAAACACACATTTGTAATACATCACATTAACTTTGTAGTCACCACCTGGAAAGCTCTCCCTTAAAAATGCCCTCCATTTGCTAAACATATCCCTTTAACCCGTCATG